TCGTATTGACATTTAACGAGTTAAATGTGTTATAAAAGGGAGTTATTGTGTTGTTGAAATGGTTAGACAAAAAAAAAAAAAAAAGAACAGAAAAATAACAACAACATTTTACGAAAAAAAACTTTATTAAAATATAGTAAAAATATAAAAAAACATTAGAGAAGATATTGTTTGATGTTTATAAACATTTGCTGCTAGCAACAAAATATCTAAATATTTCTAAAGACATTTCATAATAAAAATATAGACTAGACTATAGACTAGACTATAGACTAGACTATAGACTAGACTATAGACTAGACTAGACTATAGACTAGACTATAGACTAGACTAGACTATAGACTAGACTATAGACTAGACTATAGGCTAGACTATAAAATAGACTATAGACTAGACTATAGACTAGACTATAGACTAGACTATAGACTAGACCATAGACTAGACTATAGACTAGACTATAGGCTAGACTATAGGCTAGACTATAGGCTAGACTATAGACTAGACTATAGACTAGACTATAGACTAGACTATAGACTAGACTATAGACTAGACTATAGACTAGACTATAGACTAGACTATAGACTAGACTATAGACTAGACTATAGACTAGACTATAGACTAGACTATAGACTAGACTATAGACTAGACTATAGACTAGACTATAGACTAGACTATAGACTAGACTATAGACTAGACTATAGACTAGACTATAGACTAGACTATAGACTAGACTATAGACTAGACTATAGACTAGACTATAGACTAGACTATAGACTAGACTATAGACTGGACTATAGACTAGACTATAGACTAGACTATAGACTAGACTATAGACTAGACTATAGACTGGACTATAGACTAGACTATAGACTAGACTATAGACTAGACTATAGACTAGACTATAGACTAGACTATAGACTAGACTATAGACTAGACTATAGACTAGACTATAGAGTAGACTATAGACTAGACTATAGAGTAGACTATAGACTAGACTATAGACTAGACTATAGACTAGACTATAGACTAGACTATAGACTAGACTATAGACTAGACTATAGACTAGACTATAGACTAGACTATAGACTAGACTATAGACTAGACTATAGACTAGACTATAGACTAGACTATAGACTAGACTATAGACTAGACTATAGACTAGACTATAGACTAGACTATAGACTAGACTATAGACTAGACTATAGACTAGACTATAGACTAGACTATAGACTAGACTATAGACTAGACTATAGACTAGACTATAGACTAGACTATAGACTAGACTATAGACTAGACTATAGACTAGACTATAGACTAGACTATAGACTAGACTATAGACTAGACTATAGACTAGACTATAGACTAGACTATAGACTAGACTATAGACTAGACTATAGACTAGACTATAGACTAGACTATAGACTCTATAGACTAGACTATAGACTAGACTATAGACTAGACTATAGACTAGACTATAGACTAGACTATAGACTAGACTATAGACTAGACTATAGACTAGACTATAGACTAGACTATAGACTAGACTATAGACTAGACTATAGACTAGACTATAGACTGGACTATAGACTAGACTATAGACTAGACTATAGACTAGACTATAGACTAGACTATAGACTAGACTATAGACTAGACTATAGACTAGACTATAGACTAGACTATAGACTAGACTATAGACTAGACTATAGACTAGACTATAGACTAGACTATAGACTAGAGACTAGACTATAGACTAGACTATAGACTGGACTATAGACTAGACTATAGACTAGACTATAGACTAGACTATAGACTAGACTATAGACTAGACTATAGACTAGACTATAGACTAGACTATAGACTAGACTATAGACTAGACTATAGACTAGACTATAGACTAGACTATAGACTAGACTATAGACTAGACTATAGACTAGACTATAGACTAGACTATAGACCAGACTATAGACTAGACTATAGACTAGACTATAGACTAGACTATAGACTAGACTATAGACTAGACTATAGACTAGACTATAGACTAGACTATAGACTAGACTATAGACTAGACTATAGACTAGACTATAGACTAGACTATAGACTAGACTATAGACTAGACTATAGACTAGACTATAGACTAGACTATAGACTAGACTATATACTAGACTATAGAGTAGACTATAGACTAGACTATAGACTAGACTATAGACTAGACTATAGACTAGACTATAGACTAGACTAGAGTAGACTATAGACTAGACTATAGACTAGACTATAGACTAGACTATAGACTAGACTATAGACTAGACTATAGAGTAGACTATAGACTAGACTATAGACTAGACTATAGACTAGACTATAGACTAGACTATAGACTAGACTATAGACTAGACTATAGACTAGACTATAGACTAGACTATAGACTAGACTATAGACTAGACTATAGACTAGACTATAGACTAGACTATAGACTAGACTATAGACTAGACTATAGACTAGACTATACTAGACTATAGACTAGACTATAGACTAGACTATAGACTAGACTATAGACTAGACTATAGACTAGACTATAGACTAGACTATAGACTAGACTATAGACTAGACTATAGACTAGACTATAGACTAGACTATAGACTAGACTATAGACTAGACTATAGACTAGACTATAGACTAGACTATAGACTAGACTATAGACTAGACTATAGACTAGACTATAGACTAGACTATAGACTAGACTATAGACTAGACTATAGACTAGACTATAGACTAGACTATAGACTAGACTATAGACTAGACTATAGACTAGACTATAGACTAGACTATAGACTAGACTATAGACTAGACTATAGACTAGACTATAGACTAGACTATAGACTAGACTATAGACTAGACTATAGACTAGACTATAGACTAGACTATAGACTAGACTATAGACTAGACTATAGACTAGACTATAGACTAGACTATAGACTAGACTATAGACTAGACTATAGACTAGACTATAGACTAGACTATAGACTAGACTATAGACTAGACTATAGACTAGACTATAGACTAGACTATAGACTAGACTATAGACTAGACTATAGCCTAGACTATAGACTAGACTATAGACTAGACTATAGACTAGACTATAGACTAGACTATAGACTAGACTATAGACTAGACTATAGACTAGACTATAGACTAGACTATAGACTAGACTATAGACTAGACTATAGACTAGACTATAGACTAGACTATAGACTAGACTATAGACTAGACTATAGACTAGACTATAGACTAGACTATAGACTAGACTATAGACTAGACTATAGACTAGACTATAGACTAGACTATAGACTAGACTATAGACTAGACTATAGACTAGACTATAGACTAGACTATAGACTAGACTATAGACTAGACTATAGACTAGACTATAGACTAGACTATAGACTAGACTATAGACTAGACTATAGACTAGACTATAGACTAGACTATAGACTAGACTATAGACTAGACTATAGACTAGACTATAGACTAGACTATAGACTAGACTATAGACTAGACTATAGACTAGACTATAGACTAGACTATAGACTAGACTATATACTAGACTATAGACTAGACTATAGACTAGACTAGACTATAGACTAGACTAGACTATAGACTAGACTATAGAGTAGACTATAGAGTAGACTATAGACTAGACTATAGACTAGACTATAGACTAGACTATAGACTAGACTATAGACTAGACTATAGACTAGACTATAGACTAGACTATAGACTAGACTATAGACTAGACTATAGACTAGACTATAGACTAGACTATAGACTAGACTATAGACTAGACTATAGACTAGACTATAGACTAGACTATAGACTAGACTATAGACTAGACTATAGACTAGACTATAGACTAGACTATAGACTAGACTATAGACTAGACTATAGACTAGACTATAGACTAGACTTTAGACTAGACTTTAGACTAGACTATAACTAAACTATAGACTATATGGAGTATAGATTCGATTATAATCAGTCTATAGTCAAGACTTTAGATTCGACTTTATACTATATATTGAATATTATAGATTAGACTATGTAGAGTGTAGACAAGACTACAGATTAGACTATGGATTAAAATACGATTAAAGGCAATAGACTGAACTTAATATTTATGCTGTCTATAGAATGTTCATTAGATTGGAACAGTAAAATGTTATGTTGTCAAATTTTTATCTCCTTATAATATATTTTTTTTTAAATCTAAAATATTTTCTCAAAATTTCAATGTTCAAAATTGATGAACATGAAAATATCTAAATATTCCAAATATTCCAATTAATATTTATGTATATATTCATTGACACACTCACCCCAGTCTTGCAACAGTAGATTCTACTAATTGCTTAATTTATAGATAATCCCCACAACATATAAAGTATCTAACGAATACATTTACTAAGAACTCACTGTTAAAGCATTGTTTTCAAAACAAAAAACAGCTGTTTTCAAATTACAGTTATGTTATCGGCTGTTAATTTTGAGGCGAATTCAAAAAGAAAAAAGTATCTATAGTTTAACATAATTCTAGCAGTTGGTATTTTACAGATACTTTTGTGACAGAAGAAAAAATAAACAAAAGTAAATCCAATGGTGTAAACGCTCTTTCTCTCACACGTGACTCTCTGCAGCTAGTGTTTAACACTCACGCACTTTTGGTGATACAACTTTCGCTCTCTCTCTCTGTGTATCTCATGGATGAAGTTGTTTGTATACTAGGTTTTGTAGTTGTTGTAGGAAAAATATATTACTTATATAGAGGCAATGCACCCTAAAAATATGAACACTCAGTAGAGGAAAAAAGGTAGCGTAAAAGTGAGTTTGTATGAAGTAGATGAATTCGCCTTAAAATTGTAACTGAATGCTTTTATTGTTTAGAGATACTCTTTAGTTCTATTGCGATACTGTCCCGGTACGGTTGCTGAAAGCGCTTAAATAATGTTAAAGACGACGTTGGCATATAACGACGGCCAAAAACGGTATTTGTTTGTTTTCTTAAGTGTGTGTGTGTTTTTTATGGAAATGAAATGCTTTAAGAATTGAGAAAATTTATGCAAAAATTTAATTGTTCTTTAAACAATTTGAAAAAAAAAAAAAATAGATTGGCTGTTTAATTAATTAGAAAAAAAATATTACTATAAAACAAACCCCTTGGTGTTTCTAGGCGCTACAGCTCCATTCAGTGATAAACGTGTCGAGTTGTAGTCGAGTCCAAAAAGTGTTGGTTTTGGGAACAAGAAGAAAAATATATCGTGTATCTACACACCAGCAAACGGTTGTACAAAACTCGCGTTACGGTTGGAAACAAAAACAAAAAAAAAACGAAAATTTACGGATCCTTAAAAATCAAACATCGTGTGTACAAAAGAATCGAAAAAAGATAAAACTCAAGTAGAAAATTAATAACGAATGAAACAAAACTCATCTAGAGCATCTCTCACATAAAAAATAATTGAAATTTTCCACAAAAAAACAACAACAACAATAAGTTTTCCTTTACAACATCGGTATATAGTCGGTGCATTTAACATTCGTTGTAAAAAATTTGAAAATTTTCATAGTTGCGGGTTTTCCTATCTACCTAAATACACACTTACACTCATACACACACCAAAAAAAAAACACAATTTTTGAAAATTATTGTTTGTAGATTGTGTGTGTGCGTTTTTTCCCCGTTATAGAAAAAACCCAAAATATTACCCCTGAATAAAAAGTGAAATTTATTTAACAAAAATTAAAGAAAAGCCGAAAAAAAATGTTTCCTGAAAATTGTAATAAAGTAAAAGTTAATGTTAAAGAAAATTATTATTATAGTGTAATCTAAAGGAAAGAAGAGAATATTTTCCCCTCAAAAAAATCATAATAAAAGAATAATAATCAAAATATATGCTTCATTAAGTGTTTCAAAGTATAAAGTAAAAAATATATAAATTTTGAAATTATTAATATCTGTATAAAAAAGAATCTTATTAATAAAGAAATATTCTTTAAAATAAAAATTTTTGTGAAAAATTATAAAGAAAATTCCCCCCCCCCAAAAAAAAAAACTAATTTGAAAAAATTTCTTAAGAAAATAAAACTTTTTATATAAAATTTCTCGGATTTTGTGGATATTAAATACTTGACTTTAAATACAGCAGGATAAAGGATTAATAAAGGTTGGTATTTATATATTTGAGAAAAATTTTAAAAAAAGTACTTCCTGAGGAGTCATTGGTTACATTTAACTTATCTTCATCAGCAATTGCGATGTTTTAGCCCCATAATCTAAATATTATTGGAAATGGTTTCGGTATATTTAAGGCTTTCTTGGGTACTTCATTTAGACCGACTGGACAGACATTTCGTAATTCGCTTGATTTAAAAATTTTGTAACGGCAAACAAAGGGTTCAAAACTTTTTATCGTTTAAAACAGATTTTGTTAATTTTTTTCTATATATAGTCCAATGTTTGGACTTTATTAAATTAGAATGAAATTAGAGAACTAACTTAAAGCTTTCAAGATTGTTTCTTTTAAAATTGTTTGGCCCCCGATTAATAACAAATCCGGATACTATGGGAAATTTTTCGTACATTTTTATCAACAGGGAATGTTTATTTTAATGAAAATTTCTTAGATCCCTTAGTGGCGTAATGTGTATTACTTACGATTTTATGTAGTATATATCATCCCATCAACTTAACCTTATCTAGACCTTTTCAATCTGGTCCTAACGGGCTTTACAACTTTTAAACAATACAAACAGTTTTGTTCCATTTTTGAACCATTTTTATAAAATTTTGTTTTTTATTTCCGGAAATGTTTATCAACAAAGAAAATTTGAATGAAATTTAGACCTTAACACATTTTTGTTGTTTTTGGAACCATTCGGACCGGACGGACATTTCGTAATTCGCTTGATGTGGTAAACTGCTTCAACGGCAAAGAAGTGTTCAAAACTTTTTATCTTTTAAAACTATTTTTTGTTAAATTTTTCCAAATATAGAATGAAATTAAGTTTTCAAGATGTGTTCTTTTAAAATAGTATTTATTACATCCATTTGACCCATGTTTTATAACAAATAATTTTGATACAAAAAAAAAAAAACTATTTTAGGAAAATTTCCGGAACAAAGAATATTTTAATAAAAATTTCTTAGGCCCGATAGTGGCGTAAGGTTTATTACTTACGATTTTATTTAAATAGACATACTCCTATTAACTTAACTTAACCCCTAGCCTTTTCAATAGGTTCTTATCGGATTTCCATTATAAGCTATATAGTCCAACCGCCATTTTTTATTATTTATATTTTAGTTCTTTTAATTGCGGTTATTTTTATCAACAAAGAATATTTTAATGAAAATTTCTTAGGCCCGATAGTGGCCTTCTTCCGATCTAATGTAGAATACATATTTTTATCAACCTATCTTACCTCAGAACTTTTACATCGGAGTTTACAACTTTTAACCAGTTCAAAGTTTGTTGTTCCATTTCTGGCTATATATGTACGTTTTGTTCCTTTAACTGTCAGACGGACGGAATGTTATATCTGAATAATAAGGACTAACATATTTTGAACAGTAAACTTATCAAAGGACTGAGCTATGCTGAATCGGAATCTGATCTCAAAATGACAGTATAACATTTGGTATTTGAGGCATTTTTGATTACATTTGAGAACCCCCCAATTTTCGCCATATTTAGGACGTTATAACCGAGCCAAGTCAACTTTATTAATAAAATTTGTTATTTCGTCTGAAAGTTCTCTCTATTAGCTTCAGAATAAATATTAACCCCCTTATTCAGAAACATTTTATAAATTAAAAAATAGCTTTTTCATTTATTGACATATTTTAACCTTAAATTGTAACCAATTATATATTAAAACTATATTCGAATTCGTCTTCAACGGACGAGGTCTAGCGATATTAATTATGGCAAGTTGTGACTTCTAAGTTTACCCTAAAATAAAATTAAAATCTAATGAAAAGTCGAATTTTCTTACATTCACAGTTTCTTAAAATTTAAGGTTTAGATATATCAAAGAGGGGGCAACACCCAACAGAGGTTTAACATTCACTTTAAAGCCAATATATAGGACTTTTAAGCGGTATTTATAAATGAAGGTTACTTTGCGTGGTTTTAGCTTAGATATCTCCAAAATCGAAATATGGATTCAGCTCAATCCTATAAGAAAACTTTAACAACACTCGCAAGAGTCGAATAAATACAATATTTGAACTGTGGCACATCAGATATATAAACATTTTATGAGTCCAGATCTTTTTCTTAGACCCATCTACACAGTCTAAAAGCATGATTTCTTCTAGCTCCCTTTACATGTTGTCCCCAGAATACGGTACGCTTATGACCTTAGCCTCTGTATAAGGTCATCTTGAGAAAGTTACGTTCATACTGATGTCCTGCAAGTAAGAAGAACCATAATCGGCCTTAAATTGATATAATCGGTCCCATAAGAACATCTCTCATAGAAAACCGGTTAATAGTTGTTGTTGTAACTGCGAGACGTGTAAAATCGATGCTGTTGAGTTGACAATCCTTAGTCGTTATTCGTTAAACTCCGAGTCGTTTCCGCCGATTTATGGTTCTACCAATCGTTTACAAATCGTGATATATTAACTAAAAAACTAAACAACTTTTGAATCGAAAATGGGACACTGATTTAATAGTATCATTTTTGTTAGGTTCATTCACACCTCTTCGATGTTTCAGTTTCAATATATACGGACAATATATATGATGGAAATTATTGAGTCCAAAAACAATTTTATTTCGGCAAAAATTTAGTTATATGTATAGCTTACGGTAGTGCGAAGGTTAATCATGAGATTAAGTAAAATGTCCCAGTTTTTTTTAAAAACTCTTCTCGGCACCCTTAAATCATCGTTTTAATTAATAATTAAAAAGTACCGTTAATATTCCTTAACATTATTTACAGTTAACGTGTTTTTTTCATGCTACAACTAGTAGTAGACTACCAGAGACAACCCACCCAAATAGAATCCCGTCTATTTGCAAAAATAACGTGCATATAATTTTTGCAAAAACGCATATAAAATACCATTAATTTTCATTGTCTTAATGTGTCTGGGCATGTGAAATATACACATATATGTATACACACACACGTGTAGAAAATTAAAAACTCTATATGAGAACCCGGTAGAATGGGGAGGAATGATCAAAAGAGAATTTACATGAACGTAATTACAAATGAACATTTTATGACTTCTGGTGAGAGAAATGACTTATTTCAAAGGTATAATACAGGAAACAATGTTTAAATAGTTAATAGTAACGACTAACTACCCGCTGCATTACCAAGAGATAATAAAGTGGCAATTAGCTTCATTTTTGTACTAAAGAGAGTCCATAATATATACATCTGAGTTAACTAAAAGTGATACATTGTTGTCCTGTAAAATGACCGGGATAATCTATGTGAATCTGCGATGTACATTGTATGTGTGACTACTGTTCGAGTGTATGTGTTAAACAGAAAAGTGTTTGCTAAATTAAAAGTAATTTTCTAGCTTTTACATGATTACTGTAGCAAAAATGTATAAAAGAGCTAAAATACTGGCAAAAATTTCAGTAAAAACAAGAAAAAAAAAAACTCCCTTAAAACGTATTACCGACTATAGAAGGGGAATATAACATACAGATCTACACGCTTTCATTATAAAAATAAAATAAATAAACACGTTGATTTTAGATACTCTTTTCAGTTTAACAAATAGTTAAATTTTTCCATGCACTTTCAAAAAGAGGGAAAATACATTTTAATATGGCACACGAAGAAAATCTAATGAAAACAAACAAACAAACAAAAAATTTTCAAGAATTTTAATTAACAAATTGTAATTAATTAAAAATAGATAAAAAAAACAATTTTTATATTTTAAAAGAGGAAATAAATACTTGGAAGTAAATAAATAAATAAATAGTACTCTAGAGAAAAACAAATAAAAGTAGTTTTTTGAGGGTTTATCTTTTATTATTGCATTTTTTGGTTAGTTTTAATATTTTTAATGGTTTTAATTTTATTTAGAATTTTGAAAAGGAACAAAAATTTTAATTAAATAAAAGGCAATTTTAAGGCTTAAGTGGAAGTGTTTATGTTCTGGAACTACTTTCAAAATACTTTCAATTTTTAAGCTTGAATTTGGAAAATAGACTAAACTCAGAAATTATTAGTTCAGTTCTAGTTCAATTCTAGTTCAGTTCTAGTTCAGTTCTAGTTCAGTTCTAGTTCAGTTCTAGTTCAGTTCTAGTTCAGTTCTAGTTCAGTTCTAGTTCAGTTCTAGTTCAGTTCTAGTTCAGTTCTAGTTCAGTTCTAGTTCAGTTCTAGTTCAGTTCTAGTTCAGTTCTAGTTCAGTTCTAGTTCAGTTCTGGTTCAGTTCTAGTTCAGTTCTAGTTCAGTTCTAGTTCAGTTCTAGTTCAGTTCTAGTTCAGTTCTAGTTCAGTTCTAGTTCAGTTCTAGTTCAGTTCTAGTTAAGTTCTAGTTCAGTTCTAGTTCAGTTCTAGTTCTGTTCTAGTTCAGTTCTAGTTCAGTTCTAGTTAAGTTCTAGTTCAGTTCCAGTTCTAGTTCTGTTCTAGTTCAGTTCTAGTTCAGTTCTAGTTAAGTTCTAGTTCAGTTCTAGTTCAGTTCTAGTTCAGTTCTAGTTCAGTTCTAGTTCAGTTCTAGTTCAGTTCTAGTTCAGTTCTAGTTCTGTTCTAGTTCAGTTCTAGTTCAGTTCTAGTTAAGTTCTAGTTCAGTTCTAGTTCAGTTCTAGTTCAGTTCTAGTTCAGTTCTAGTTCAGTTCTTGTTCAGTTCTAGTTCAGTTCTAGTTAAGTTCTAGTTAAGTTCTAGTTCAGTTCTAGTTCAGTTCTAGTTCAGTTCTAGTTCAGTTCTAGTTAAGTTCTAGTTCAGTTCTAGTTCAGTTCTAGTTCAGTTCTAGTTCAGTTCTAGTTCAGTTCTAGTTCAGTTCTAGTTCAGTTCTAGTTCAGTTCTAGTTCAGTTCTAGTTCTGTTCTAGTTCAGTTCTAGTTCAGTTCTAGTTAAGTTCTAGTTCAAGTTCTAGTTCAGTTCTAGTTCAGTTCTAGTTCAGTTCTAGTTCAGTTCTAGTTCAGTTCTAGTTCAGTTCTAGTTCAGTTCTAGTTCAGTTCTTGTTC